AACAGAACAGGCAGCATCACAGATTAAAAAGATAGTGGAAGCAATTTAATGACCTGTCACTTTGAAGTGTTTACTGTACGTGCATTTAAGTATTGGACATTTTCACGAGGCACCTGCATTGAGGAGAAAGGTCAACTTGAGTTTGTGCTGCCTTCAGGGACTCTGAAGTTTGTCTGTTAAACTTGTGATCGTCAGCGTCAAGATCAGACAAACGCTTACTGGGCTGAGTCTGTGAGTCTGTGCTGCCCTCTGGTGGTGACAGAGGGGAACTGCAAGATCAGGGGAAATAAGGTAAGACATTTATTGATGCTTTTCAGCCATGATACCATGAATTTTTCTAAAACCTAAGCTCAGTGTACCTTTCAGCTGGTAGTGGAAAGCTTGGTGATCCTTTATCTAAACCCGCCGCCCTACAAACAAGAATAGAGTCGGAAGAAAAAACCTCCGGTGTTTGGGTTTGAGCTACTGAGGGACCATTTCGATGTGACAGACAAAGTCCTTGAGCCGGTAATACACTAAAAACAGGTACACAGGATGCCGTGGTGTGTGTACTCGCAGGACTTGGTCCAAGAAATTGTGGGAAGTTTGCTGGTAGAAACACAGCCTCAAGCGACGCATCATTAGGCCTTTGGGAATGAGAGGATGCTAATTGGCTCAGTGATGATCCAGAGTACGGTAAAGGTAACAGCACAGGAGCTAACGAGTGGTTCATGTTAGATGAATGGGTTTGATAAAACATGTCGATTGAACTTGTAAACGGCACCGGGAAGGCAACAAACTGCAGGGGTGCTTCAGGGGAAGTGTTGCTGTCTTGGTGTTCAGTTTTTAACAAGTTGGGGATTTCCTCCCCTGGTTGTTGCTGATTGGCTGATGAGGCTGCCACCTGTACTTGTGTTTGGTGTGTGATCAGGGGGTCAGATGTAGGTGTGGCTTCTGCATCATCCAGCCCTCTGACGACTTGTCTGGAGGATTGATGTGCTGGATATCTGTTACTGTCAGATGACAAATAACAAAGCATTACAGTGCAATATATTTAGCACTTTAAGTTGAAGTTTTTCTTAATTTACAACGCAGAAATTAGGTTACAAATTTGTTAAAGTGGAGTTGTGGAAATAAACCTGTACAAGTGTGTAATCAGTGTACGTGGTGTTACTTGTTTTGTGACGTTAAAATGATTTAAAGCTCCTGTGTGGAGTTTTTTTATCTGGTTATGAAACAGTCTGAAATTAATATTGGTGCCTCTATATTGGCTACAAAAGCAAACAAGACCATCAGCATAAAGATAGACTGTTTCTACATGGTTATTTTTAATGCCTGAAGCTAATGCTGCAGGGTAGGTGTCAGCACACATGATAAACTTTATTTTACATTTTAACAAAGCAAAAAATCACAGTGAGTGAGTTTTTGGAAATTAAAAGAAATCAGTGTAAAATTTTAATTAGGAAACAGTACGTGGATATGAACAGAACAAAATCTGCAAAGATACGTTGCTTTGTCCACCGGGGGGTGCCAAAATCAACACAAAAGGAGCTTCAAAACTTGTTAAAATGTAAAATATAAACACAAGTAGTGGTTATTTAGTTCCTGTGATTTAATTTCCACAAAAAAAGGAAGTGACAGTTGATTTATTTTAAGGTGACTTCTGTGTTTTGGGATTTTTTAATGTTAGAGGTTAAGGAGTTGAAAACAAGTGGGACAAGTTTAGATGATGACTTATACCTGACCTCGCCAATTTTAGTCTCAGACTCAGTGAGACAACTAGGAAAGGAACAGAGTGAAGGAATTCAAGAAGTAGGGAACAAATGAAGTAAAGAAAGAGACGGGAAGAAAAGGAAACAAGAAAGAAAAGGTAATTATTTTTATTTGTTACAATATAGAAGCAAAGATTTTCAAACTCAACACAAAAGAGAAACAGGCACTCAGTGTGGCAACTATTTTTTAAAATGAAACACAACAGCAAACTTAAATATTAGATGGCTAAATCTAATGTAAGTAAACATGAGGATTAAATACATGTAAAGGCACTGGATAAATATTTTACATAGCAATGGCTTCAACATTGAACCTTTGCATTACGAGCCATTTATAGCATTCATACACACACCTTTGCACCTTCAAAGCTAAACAACGTGCTCGTTGCAGAGACCCTTCCTTACTTGCATTCATCTTAAACCGTTCTGATTTCTCAATTCACCGAGGTCTGTTCCATCACAGCAGCTTAGCATACGGGCTAATGGTTTAAAATAAAAGAACATACATTCATAACAAGGTGAAATCGCTTTCCATTTTTTAGATGGCCCAGAGAGCCCATACAGCACAAAATAAAGCAAATGTAAACGAGCCATATTTAGCTTTGAAATAGTTTTGAGGCTGGTTCCAAAACACCCTCCAACACATCTGTGTTTTATTTTACTGTCTTAATAAAACTCTTCAGCAGAACCTTCACCAGATCTATTAGTTATCGTAGAAATACACTGCTGTGTACACTGCAAAACAACAAATCTAAGCGAGTGTATTTGTCTAATTTCATGTTTAAAAAATATCTACTGTCATTTTATTATAAACGCCACATTCAACTGCACGAAGGAGCCGTGTAGTTATACGATGCAGAAGCAAAAAGTGGGATTAACAAGCTCTTTTTAATCTTTCCTTCTCACTGTATCTCGACTCTCTGATCAGACTGCAGGATTTGTCTCTGTGTACATAAGAACTTGTTTCATAATGTTGTTACATGTAAGACAGAACACAGTTTGAATAATTCATAAAATGTTTTCAGTAACTCCCAGCGGACTACCTCAGCTGCTTGCCGCTCGACATGACCTTGGGACATACAGCACATGAAACATACAGCACATGAAGTCAGTGTACAGAATGTGCTGTACTGAAGGCTACATGCACTGCAGTGAGGAGCCAATCATGGAAAACTATGAATTATTTGTCTTCGATCTTTGTTCATTGGGAAAAAGTAAGCCACACAAAAGCACACAAGGTCTCAGCTGACAACATGTTGAATATTCTCCCTCATCAAACCCAATCATTTAAAGCTCCTGTGAGGAGTTTTCATCTGATTATGAAACAGACACAAACTAATACTGATGCCTCTTTCTGAATTGAGAAAGCAAATGACAATATTCTTTGTTTCTAAATCGTTATTTTTAACGATTGAAACAGCTGCCATTGGGTATGGTGGACGAAGAGATTTACAGTAAGTGATAGATTTTGACTGTTAAAATAAAGCAAGGGGAGACTGTCTGTTTAAAACATGACTCACACGGGGCACCGTTTGCCTGACTCACATGTAAAGGTCAGGATCAGCAAAGAGATGAGATGTACCGCTTTGTCCACAGGGGGGCGCCAAAATCAACAGAAACTGAAAAGTTCCTCACAGGAACGTTATTGGTCGTTAGTATGAAGATACCCCATTTGAGTCCAAGATTAAAAAAAACCCTCAGGTGACAATGAAGTTGATCATATCATAGCGTATTGTATCGTATAGCATATTATTGTAAATCGCTACTGTGCGCACAGAAAGGAGCATCGAAATACTTCAATCAAACCCAAATTCATGCATAAAGGGTTGAAATTGGATTCACACTCATAGTATTTATGGATGTAAAAAAAAACCTTCAGGGATTGAACTAGTGGAGTAGCAAGAGGAGCAAGAGGGTTTATACTTAAAATGAAATGTCTGAATGAGGCCAGTGGAGGCTCTTCAAATAACAGTGAAGGACAAGCCAACACCACTACCATCACACACTCACACACACACACGCTCACTCAGTTTCTTTATTTCCATCAACCCATAAACTTTTTTACTTTCGACGTCCTTATAAATAACCACCTACAGAAGTCAAACTGATATGGTGCACACACATACACAAGTAGACTAACACACACACACACACACACGTGTCTACTGGACATTGAGGGTGCGAGCAGACACTCCGTGGTGCCAGTCTCTCAGCTCGCCGTACTTGGGGCCCATCACAAACCGAGTGGTGGTCTTGTGTCCTCTGCCAGCACAGGAAACACAGAGAGAGGGAAGAAAAAAAGAAAGACACCAAAAGAGAGAGAGGGAAGGAAAAGATTCAGGAAAAGTAGAGCACCAGCCCTGCAATCAGATACACTGAGAGCCATGCCGCATGAAAAGCTGCTTTCACAAACAAGAAGCGGATGGTCCACGGGGGGAGTTTATGACGTGGATGAGTTGAGGGCAGTCGAGCTGTCATCACCAGGAAATGACAAAAAATCAACACACAAGAGAGAAAGTCAAAGCCACAGCCTGTTTGGACTGAAATGATGAATTAATCTCACCATGAAGCAGCCACACAACGACACACACAGGCAGCAGGGATGTCAACACAAGCGATCAGATGTTTTCACCACAAACCAACGAGCGCTAAGGACGGCCAATGGATCACAACACCACAGAGAGGACGCACCGCCACAGGCCGGCTGTGGTCGTCAACAACAACCGCAATCACAGGTTGTACACACAACACATGCAAAGACTGTCACACCAACAAACCCCAAAATGCACAAACAGCAAACACAAAAAGCGTCACAATTTGATCTGCAAACACTCCACAGCTCTCTGCAGTCAGAGAGAGAAGTTGAGTTTAAACTGCCTCTGAACTCAGACACTAAAATGTGATCTATATGACAGAACACTCAGGTCTGGGTTTTGACTTAACCGTATAAATATGATCCGTTCTCTGCAGTTGAGACAAAAGGGAGCTCACACAGCATCAACAAAAACTTCCAGACCTGTACTACTTATTTCTATTATGCTCTGTAGATGCCTCTACATGTTAGAACATCGTTATAGAGGCTCGTAACAGGCTTCATGAACGAAATCAAGTAAGAATCAAAAAATCAGCTGGAAACATGATATTTTCTGGATTATGTCGTTTTGCTCCTCACAAAACAAACCAGACTGATTAAAGGGATGCTGAGGTTATTTAAACCTGCAATCAGTGTTTGAATTTCCATGCACTTACTTTGTCTTGGCTGCCTCGGCTTCTTCTTCTTGAGCTAAAAGGGAAACAAAAGAGGGGGAGACAATCAGACTCAGCTTTAGTGGCCAGACATGTTGACACATACAAGGACTTTGACTCAAATAAAGCCCAACTAAAGGCAGACGGCTGCTCAACATGAGTCTGGTTCTGCTCAAGGTTTCTGCCTTTTAAAAGTCCAATGTTACTTTTTTAAGTTACATTTGCCAGAAGTGGCGGATGAAGCAACACAGTCCGCTAAACGACGCTATAATGAGAATATTTGCCTTCAAATCGATGCTCTGTTATGTGTAATTTGACGCAATCACAGTATCAACAACAGAATGGAGAACAAAGACCATACACGCTCTGGTCGTGCAGTGATCGCAGGGAGTAAATGTCACCACCTTCTCCTAATAGCTTGAGGTGAATTCTCCTGATTATATTCTGCTGCGTTCTCACATCACCTCACTTGGACCTTCTGCTTAAAAAAATAGTAGGGGGCTTGTAGGAAAAACTCTGGATAAAGTCTAAGTGAAAAATGTGGCTGTTTACCGTTGACACATGTAGCTCACCCCCAAAAACTTCAGGAGTTTTTCAGGAGTTTTGTGCATGTGTGAAAGCACTTTTATTTACAGGTAATTTGGGTGTTTTTTTCTCACAGGGTATCGCACATGAATCGTTCTCTATGTTTAGTTTTGTTCAGAGTGACAGTGAGAAAGAATGAGACTCTCTTCCATTTTCTACTATTTATACTGTGTCTTCATTTTGGCTGCTATTCTTACTTCTTTTAATGTTGCACTGATGGAGAGTTGCACACTCAATTTCCGTTGTAGCTGTTGCTATGACAACCACGTATTGTATTCTTTTCTCCTGTACTGTGTAATATTTGTGGTACAGACTCAGAGCAGGCATCATTGTGCTTAATAGATGCAGACATCATCACTGTGCACCCTGCCGTCAGCAGCTTATCCTTACCGTTCTCTGTGCCGGTGATCTGAGCCAGGATCCTGAAGGATCTGGACTGGGTGGTGCCGCTGCGAGGGCGCCAGTCCTCCGTGTCCTCCATTATGCGCTTCCTGCTGGCATCAGCGTGAGTGGGGACGTGGTAGAAGTGGATGTCTGTTTCCACCACGTGTTTCCTGGGAACTCTGAAAGGACAGGGCGGAAGACATCAGCAACAAGAGTTTTTAATTTGACATGCTCCAGATCATGATTTATTCAAGAAACAGAGATGCAGACTGATGTCGTTTACAATGAGAAGTATTCATTTTGTAAGATGCTATGAATACTCAAATACTCATACACTGCAAAAACTCAGATCTGCCTTAGTGTATTTGTCTTGTTGCTAGTCAAAAATATGTTTTTTTAGACTTATTATAAGCGTCAATCACTGATCAAGTCAAGATTAAACATTTCATTTCAAGATATTACAAGAAACAAATAAGGCCTGAATTCTTGTGAATGAGTAAAACTGCCAATGAAGCATGAAAAATGTACTGATTAAGTTTTCAAAAAACTTTCTTTTGAGAATTTCTCATCAGTTTCTTGAAATGAGATGTAAAGTCTTATGATCTTTTTAAAATCTAACATGAAACTAAGATAACTAAGCTTTGAGGAGAATGTTACTTGTAAAAGCTACTTGTCTAGTTTCATGAAATGAGATCAATATCTTATTTTTCCTTATTTTTTTCATTTTTTTAAAATGAGTTTGTACTGTGTTTGTTTGTCTTTGTCCTCTGTAAAGCACATTGAGTTCAGGTTTGTATGAAATTTGGTTTTCAAATTGAATTGAATTAAGTGTGTAGGTGTTTATGAAAGAGCTGGGTCTTTAGCTTTTTCTGCAAAGTGACTCGTTTGGAGTTGTTGGTTCATTCCACCACCAGGGGGCGACAGAGGAGAAACATCTAGTTTAGAAACTTTCTTTTACTCACTGTAAGAAATTCAGGCTTTATTTGTTTCCTACTATGTCTTGAAATAAGATGTTTCTCTTGACTTGTCAGATGAATGTGGCTCATATGAAGTCTAATAAAATATTAATGATTAGAAGTTACACACGCTAAGATTTGAGTTTTTGCAGTGTACGACTAAAAGCAGGTCAAAAGTAGATCTGTTCATTGGAGTGTGTTGTGAAATGACGTTAAGTCTTTTTAGTTTCAAACAGTGATTTTAAAGTCATATACAGTTATATTAGATTAAATACAAAATGTCAAAGTAAGAGGAATGGCATGAAAGTGTTTCGACTTCAGGTTACATGAGATGGAAACGTGAAACGCTGTTAAAAAAAAAAATAATCTACATTTTTTTTGGTCAGACAAGAAAAAAGGAAGACAAAGTCACATCACACTTTGTTAAATGATTTAAACTCTTAGTCTGAAACACTGTGATACCTTGGCGGTGGTGGCTTTCTTAAAAAGAGAACAACAGGACAGAAGAATTCAGAAATAATACCCAACAGCAACGTTCAAAACAGCCGCAAATACACCGCCGAATAATCTACTAATAATACTTACTTCAAAATACTGTGAGGTCCACTTTAAGGGAGGTAAAGCAGAAGGAGAAGAAGGGGTAAAGATATGAGGAATGTATTAAATATCTACAAGAAAAATAAAAAGCATGCAGAAGAATAGGAAATATAGGAACGTAAAAAAAAAACTGCTGGACAACAAAACTTAATGCATGCAAAAATATCCATGGAGATATTTGATCAATTGAGGGTTACCTCTAAATATACATCAATTCTCTTTTTGACCACAAGGTGGTGCTGCTGAGTTGTCTGTAAATAAACACGAGTGCATTCCTTTTTCTTTCTCTATTTTGTTGAAGTAACAGCTTCATGTTTGTCTGATTGTTTCACAAAGTGTCTTTAGCACTTGTATTGCTTTCTAATATTGGCACAATAAAAAATGAAAAAAATCTAAAAATAAGAGTTCATTCAGTCAACTTGAGCGATGTACACCATAAAAATAAAACACTCTAATAAAAGTGTTCTGCTGAAATGCAGGTGGAAAGTTTCACCGCTATTTTTTCAGTCTGTTCTAACATTTTATTTATTTATTTTATTTATTGAATTAGTACATTGCACATTCATCCACATATCAGCAATACCCATCTCTGTCGATATGCAGGAATTAGCATGAAAGCTAAATTTAGTGATTACAGTCCTTTAGGCGGGAAGTAACAAAAAAAACACAAAAAACAACATGTGTGGTGTGTGTGACTACATGAATAGTCTGAGTGTGTGGTGTATCCGCCAGCTTCCTATCCAACATGGTGCTGACAGGTCATTCACTAATTGGCCATCAATAAAACTGCTCTGAGGACACACAACACACAAATCCACACTCATACACACACACACACACACACACACACACACACACACACACACAGGGGCATTGAAGACTTTTCAGGCTCTGCTGTCAATAAATCACTTATAAATACCCGCACCCAGCATCACACTCACCTAGCACATTGAACAGACTGATTTATGAGGCTCTCTCAACACATTCCTGCCACAGCAGCGGCTATGTGGGTGTGGGCGTGTTGACAGCTCTGTGTGAGCCTGGTCACACACTTACAGTCGCTTACTGGAAATGTCCGACAATACAGTGTGTGTATGTGTGTCAATATCAGTATAGCTTTAATTTAGAGCTGAGGTAAAAAAAAAAAAAAACTGTAGCCAGCATATTGCATCACATCTGATGTAATAAGCTGCATGCATCTGTGCTTCACTTCTTAAATCATATAACATGAGAATGAGATAACTAAGCGATAGGGATAACGTTCTGCAGGGAAATCAAAAGCAAGTGCATGCAGATCCCATGATAAAGTACACAATCCTAAAATCTGTGTAATTTCTAGTAAAAATATGTCATTACATGTAACATGAGCCATGTTCACCTGATAAGTCCAGATAAAGATTATATTTCAAGACATAGCAAGTAAAACAAAAGGCCTGTGTTTTTACTGAGCAAAATGAGACCAACATCTTATATGAAGAAATGGTACAAGCCAATTTTGCTAGCTGCACTGGGAGCTATATTGACTCATATTGACTGCTTAAAAGCAATCCAGGCAGAGGCGCAGGTGGCCGAGTGGTCAGTTTTCTCACCCCATGTACATTGGCTGTCTTCCAAGTGGTATGCAAGTTTGAATTAAGCCTGTGGCATGTTATTCCCCACTATCTCTCTCCCAGTGTCCAACTCTATTATCTGTCCTGTCTCTAAGGGAGCACTCGCACTAGGCAATCTGTACTTCACCCCTAAAGTTCAGTTTGTTAGACTAGTGTGAGTGTTCTGATCCTACACTTCACTGTGCACCCTAAATAAAGGCACAAAAAAATCTAAATAATAAAACTAAATAAAAAGCAATCCAGGCCTTATTGTTTGCTTGTAATACTATTTTGATGTTTTTATCTGGTCTTTTCAGGTGAATGTGGCTTATATATAATGAGATATATTTTACTTGAAATTAGACAAATGCACAAACAGGTAAAGAAAAAGGTCAATGGAAAAGTCAAAGACATGCTGCAGAGACTAACTTTGTGACTTTAGGAGGTGCACCGGTCTGCAACACAGAAGAACAGGGGTTGAAAGAGAAGAGAGAAAGACAGAGGACATTGAATCACACTCATACTCTCATCGTTAACATTAAAAACATTGAAAAGCCCGAACTGAAAAAAGTCCCCTCTGAAACGAAGCACATAGTTCATGAACTGCATGCAAACAAGCGTGCAAGATGCAAGAGTGGGCACACATGTTGTGTCGTATATAAAACCTGAAACAAAATGAACGAATGGATAGAGACATGAGAGGAGCAAACTAATATTTCCTCAGAGCAGGGACAGCACTTGAGGGTGAACCTGATTGTTGACCTCTGCTCTGGGTTTAAAGAATCGACTTTTGTAGCTTTGGAAGAGTCTGGTGCTGATAATGAAGCTCAGTAGATGATAAAAAAGATACAAAGAAAAATCTGTTAGTATGAAGAAAGCAAGTAGAAGCTGTGTAAACAGAACAGACAGACCCAGATCTTGCTTCAATAAAGTTTGCTATTAAATATCACTTAGGCAAGGATGTGTACTGAAATGAAATGAAGCCTGTGTGTGTGTGTGTGTGTGTGTGGCTGCATGGTGTAAGATTATACTGTGCAGATGGACTGGTGTCTGCTGAATATCACAGAAAGGAAAACCGTGGGACCTTTAGTCAGAGAGTGGCCCGTAGGAAAGAGAGAGTATAAACAAGGGCTGATTGGAGACATCATGAGTCACAAAATGAGTAAAATATGTCTCTCGTTGTATCTCATGTGCAATATATCAAACCTGCTTTTGAGGTGAATATTAAAAATGGATGAACAAGGAAATGAAAGAATGGCGACATGGAGGTGTGTCAGTCAGTGAGGAGACGCAGTTTATGAGTAAAAATCTGCTTTGAAACTTTGTGTTGACTGATTAGAGAGACTCAGCTTCTAGTTACTCACACAGGCTAAATATACGCAGCTTAGTCACCACAGCAGGGTTACACTCACTATGCCTGTGGACGAGGGCGAGTTAGGGTCGAATAGTTTCGCCCAAGCGGTCCGGTTCAGTTCGGTTCGGTACAGAATGCATTTATTGGCGTTTCCGATGTCAAAAGTTATAAATGGCTCCAAAATAACCGACCTGTACTGTCATACCCTTCTGCCGGGGTGCCATGATCCCTTGATTATGTTCTGTTATATTAAACAGGATTGCAGGAGCTCATTTAAAACTCCTCTCTTCTCCAGTTTTTTCCATCACATATACGAAGCTATTAAACGTCATTCGGTTGTAAAATCCTCTTTCTCCGAGTCCGACTGTAAACAAATTGTGATTAAACCCAATTCAGTTCCCTCCAAACGGTAAACAGACATCTGACAGTATTACTATTTAATGACTGTCAAGTAAATAATATCTACAAACCAGCAGCAACGTTGAGTCGCCACCATGAGAAACAATCATAAACACAGACTTTATAATTCGTTTTGTAACTGAAACCAGCGTTGTGAATAAAGTCTGGGATTCTGAAAATACAAACAGACGTGCGAGTCTTATTTACAGTCGGAGAGAAACTAATATTATATCCAAACAGCCAAACGGTTAAAAATAAAAGAGGTATGTTTGTTTGAGAACTATTTTATTTTCCAGCTCAAACAGAAAAATCTGACGTCAGTATTTATTTACACTGATGTACTTTAAAGCTTCTGAGTTTTTAGCTGCTTATGAAACAGGCTGAAAATAATGAACATATTTCTTTATGAGCTACAAATGCAAAAGAGACCATCAGCATAACGAGGGGCGTATTCTATGTATTATATATATTAGGGCTGTCAGCATGAGCTTTTTCATCACAATGAGGAAAGGGTCTGAAATTAATTCATTAAAAAAAAGTATTTAATCGCATTTATTTATTTGGGGGCACCGTAGGTAAGCTTCTGCAGAATCTCCCTGGAGTCACAGTCAAGGAAAAGAATATTTCATTTCAGTTAAAAAAAAACTGCAGGAAAAGTCTGTTGATGAATCAAAAGTAATATCCACCACTTGACATCAAACATTTCACCGTTCCTTTGAGCTGTTTTCATTTTACTCTTCGATCCATACCAAGTTCCTTTTCTCGCAGTTAAGTCATATTCTTCAATCTACCAGAAAGCCCTTATTTTATTACAAAATAAAAGTAGGTTTGTAATCAAAAAAAGGAAGTAAAGTACCCTTTGCTTAAGACAGTGCAGAAATTCAAAATAAAAGCCTACCACAAACAGTTTTTTAATGCAAAATAAAGGAATTTAAACATGCGATAATAAATGTGATAAATCTGATTAACTGTTGAAATCCAGCGACCAATCGGGATTAATAAATGTTATCAGTTGGAGCCCTAATAAATATATACTGTTTGTTTTTTCAATGCCTGCAACCTCTGCCATGGGGTAAATTTTAGAAGCACGATTTTAGAAACGGTTTCCAAAGAATTTTACGTCTGACTATTATGTTTGTCAAACCAAAGCAGGAAATGTTTCTTTCAAGCCTCTTCTTAGAAACGCACAGGAGAAATCAGCAAAGAGAGAAGCGGTACCGCTGAGTCGCAGTGTCCACAGGGGGGCGCCAAAATCAATGCAATAGGAATGTTCCTCTAGGAAGCTTCAATATTGTAAATTTTCAAATCCTCTGTTATCAAACACCAGCAAAGCAATACTACTGCTACTGCTCATGTTATGCATGTAAGATATTTCAAAACCTTCTTTTTTGTGTGAATCTGTGAGGGTAACATCAGAGCCAAACGAGACACAGAGAGAGAGAATAATGTTGTGAAAGGAAGAGGACAGTCGAGTTAACATTTTATCTCGAAGGTCCAAAGAGAGAGACAGTCGAAGTGGGAAAATGCAGAGAATGGATTCACTTGTTTGAACGCCACTCACCCATTAAACTGCAAAGGCAAGGCTCCGCCCTGACTCTCCAATAGGCCCCGCCTCTGCCCCATGGCCACCTCACATGCGTTCTCGTTGGAGTACAGGTTGATCGGCGTGTTATACACCGACGGCTGGGGCGGGGTGAGGGCAGGGGGGGAGGAGGAGGAGGAGGAGGGAGAGGATGGGTATGAGACAGGAGGCGGAGGCGGAGGAAAAGGAGGGCTGCCGTGGGAGGAGGCAGGTGTGAAGGCGGAGGACGGAGACGGGATGAAGGGAGCAAACGGTGGCTGGGAAGGTGGGTATTCGCTGTCTGTTCCGCAGACCCCGAAAGGTCTGGGGGCTTTGCTGTAGGGGACGGAGGTGCGGTTGGAGGGGCTGAAGGAGTGAGGGTGAGGATGGAGCGGTGGTGGTGGATGGGTGAGGGCGACTGGTTTTATGATGTCTGATCTGATGTCCTACCGGCGTGAGAGAAGAGCATGCAGATACAAACGAAAAAAAAACACAATCACCACACAGCACACAGGATACTGATGCCTCTTATGCTAGATTAATGGATGTGTTTATAACAGTTTTGGATTTAATTCAATAACAGCTAAAAAAAAAAATGAATTATGTTTCATGAAACGTGTTCTGAGATTTTTCTAGGAATAAGGAAGCATCAGTATACACAACTATTACTGAAAACTAAAACAAAACTATTTGCAACATTAGAAATAAACAGCACAAATACAAACACAAATCATGACATGTGACTTTTCGTGCAGAAAACTTGTGTGTATGGCATCATTTCAGAAGGGAACAGAAAAGTGCATAAAGCCCCAGGTCAGTTCACCTTTTTAATGCTGTCAGACTCAATCAATTTTTAGATCCTTAACGTCTTATTATTTTAATTTCTTTACTTGTTCTATGGTAACAACATTGTTTGAAAATAAAAAATAATTTAGATTTTTGACATGAACGTAATAAAAAATGACATGGCAAACTTTAATTTTCATACAAAATATATAAAGATTTCCAAATAATAAAATGTATCCATAGCACTTTATAATACAGTGTACATAATACAAACTTGTTCATAGATAATACCTTTTTTAACAAGTTACAATAAATTATTTAATGTGTAAATAAGACAAAATAAGTGCTTATAGCATCTCTAACTTAATTGTAACCTTACAAGGAATGAACAATACCGATACGGAACTTTTTATAGAGAATATTAATGGTTAAGTTAATATCCTTAACTTAAGTCTTTTGAGTTGTTTATTATAATAATTTACGGTCTATTATAATCATTTACGGTCTTAGAAACATCTTTATTTGGTCTTGCAAAATTGTCTCTTACTGGGTTTATCTGTTGCTTGATTATAATTAACTCTTTTAAAGCAAATCCTTTTTATCTCACAAAATTCAATTAATTTAAGAACTGGAAAAAATTGAAGATCTTAAAATATACAAATATTCTTTTTTTCAGCTGGTGTGCCTTCACTTAATAAAACAGTCACACTCTTGATTTTCTGGTATCCTTAATAACATGCTGTGCATTTGATTAAACACATAATTATCTGTCATTTCACTGACATGCTCTTCAACAGTACCTTTGGTGCCACTGGAGGAGGTTTGGGAACACTGGCAGCCCTGGAGGAAGGAAAGAAGAGAGAAAGTACAAGTTAATTATGCACATCCCGAATATACTTTATTACATTATATGACTTCAAAATGGTCTGTTTTTGATACCTGACTGTGTATTCTTATTGTTTATAAGTTACTGTTACCTATCATCCTGTAGGAAGGCAACACAAGTTTATCATTAAAGCACCATTCATACCTGAAAGTGCTTTAGTTGACTGTGTCTGTGTGAGGTGAGTCAGATTGTGAATATGAAATACGAGAATGCTTTTGAAGGCAGCTGTTCTTAGTCTTGAAACACTCGTATCAATGTGATACTGTTGATGCTGATACTTGACTAATGAGCTCCCTTAAGGTCATCTAAACACTAAATTTGTATCTACGCTGATATTACGCCAGACTAATATAAGGTTGACAAATTATTTTTATATTGATTTTTATCGAGATAATATTTCATCTGCTTTCATAGATGAAGGGCCTGGCTTCTGATTATATTAATGCAAAACAAGTGCAGGATATTGATGCAAATTTAGATGAGACATTTACTGCTGTTCAAAGGTGGAATTTACTCAATAACAGTAACACACATGGAACAAATGAATGTAATTGATTGCACCACAAATTCATTGTGCATGATAAGAAGGGGGAAAAAAATAAACGAGTTCACATAAATTAAGGGTTAGGTAAACCAAGAAGTAACCGAAGATGTGTGAATGTCAGCAGCCCCACATTCCTCTCAGAGCAGCCTTTCTAGAAACTTCCTAAGGGAGGTTCATGTCCTTCACCTCAGTAAATTTGAACCGACAGACATTGTGGTAGCTAGAAACACATCGGGCTACACAGCTACTCTGGCCTTTTTCTCTCTGTCTCTTGTTTCTCTGTAGGTTTAGTTTTCCCACTGTGCCCTTTGATCGCCTTTTCATGAGCACTGAGCCTCTAAAAAGATATGAAGACAGAAGCAGAAGGGTATCATGCCATTAAATTAATCGACAACTCACCCTGACCTGAACAGCTCAGGGAAACAATCTAAAAGGCTGTGAAGTAAGTCTTTTAAGAAGACTGTTTACTGCTACTGACAAGCTTTACTGTCAAAATACTGAGGTCAAACTTTGAACGTCTGCTAAACCAATAGGAAAAGGACCCTCTTTTGCATCTCCTTAAGTGTCAAAGACATTCCTCATATCACTTGAGACTACCTGTTTTTTGTCTCAGTGAGTCAATGTGAGCTGCATGCCTGTCCTGACTTCCACTGGACACACTTTACTGTCAAGTATAAAAGCAACCCGAACATATACATTGAAATTGAAACTGACAGCAGTGATCTCACTTTCACTCCAATGGCATGAAATGACCTGGGAGAGACACATATACTAGTCAGCGTAACAAGTATGCATTTCAAATTCGTAACTGACAATCATGAGTGCAGTAGCCGCGATTACACTGGAGCTAAAACTGGAAACACCAGCACTGAGTGGACCTGTGGATTTGAAAAGTCATTGGTGGTTTTAGGCTCCACTTAATGTCGTATATTACTTTAGTAATTTCTATTAGGGCCGTAGTGAATCACAAATCTCACTGTTTGGATTTGATCATAGATTTATGTCATGGATTTAATATTATTTTCACTCGACTGGACATCGACCTCAATCAGGCCTAATGAATCCCTCCCTCAGTTTTAGCATCTGTAGAAAACGTTGCTTCAATTCCAACAATTAAAACAAACAGTCAGATAATCCTGATTCCCCTTTTTATTTAGAGAGTGCTTGAGCTTGATCACAGCTGGAAAATATGTCACCAGAATAGGAGGGCTTCTGTTTTGCCCTGGTGTTCCAGAGGAACAAAAGGACCTTCACTGTATCAAACACTATGCAGCAGGAATGTTTCTCCATAGCTCAAATGTGTGAGGGTCAAAGAGCAAGTGGATGCAATAAAGACATTGACAGTGTGACAATGACAAACATGGCATTTCATACGTCTACCTCTTACACACCTCATGGAAACATTTGCGGGGCTGCTTATGTATGTGTGTGAACTTCATCGGTGTGGAGAGTTTGACTTGATTAAGAGTTAAAGAACAGCTGGTATTCCTGTACTCTTGAATTTGTAGCACGACATGTTGCATGTTAACTGTCAGGTTTGAAGAGTCTGGTCAGTTTCTCAGTTTCATGTTAATGTAAGGTTTATGTAATAAAGTGATTAGTCTGTTCATGGAACTGAAAGTCAGTAATACCCCAACTATTCTTTGTGGTGACAGCCATTTTGGTTTTGCTTTGATACCTTACCACATCCCAGTGCATGCCATGGTTGCAGTGGTGTGTTTAAACATTTTTCCATATTTTGTAAAGCCATTCATGGTCATATCCATTCTGCTTCTTTTGAACGCTGGTCATTGGGAAATGCATGTGAATCGAAATTTTGTGTAATTGCCTGGCATCCTCATCCGGATTTTTATCTTTTTCATGAACCAAAATGAGTGACTTGAGTGGCTTAGATGGGCTATTATAGTTTATCTGCTACACTGTCACAATTTACATTTAATGAACAAAACAGCACGGCAATTTTTTTCAAAAGTAATGCAATCAAGTGCTGCAAAAAAAGCAGTTGGGTTGATACAACAGTGTGTTTGTATTTGAGCATATCATCCATGGTGTTGCGTTCATTGTTGAATTCCCGGTTATTTTCTCTCATTCTGTGAATCTCGTGGCAACATCATATCGGCATCCCTTCATCTGTTATTATTGCGATGTACTTTATGAGCACCATTAAAGACATGAAAGCTAAAATGTTCTATAATTCTCCGTTTCAAATTTTATTTTAACAGACAGATTTGGTTTTAATGTTCCTCCACACATCACTTTTGTCCTACTTTTAGTCACTTAAAATGTGTCCCCACATTAATGCACTACAATAAATTGATTCGTCATAAAAAGTGGGTTATCGTCACTTCTCCTCTTTAATCATCTGTGTACTCTCTTCTATGTTCTCAGCGTATTTAATCTCTCCAGTCTATTCTTACTCGAGTGAGATCATAGACCGGTGTTTCCAGGGCTGTGCCCCCAACACGCCAACAGCTTAACCAGAAAGCGACCAGCAACACTGAATCAATGGGAGATTGTTGGGTCTGTGTATGTGTGTGATTTTCATGTGATAAAAGTGAAGCGGTCAAGAAGCAGGAGAGGTTTAAATGGAGGTGACATAGACTGGGATCTGTTTGCAAGTAGAAGGTGAACACATGGTCTATGTAATACCAACATGTATGTTGTCTCCAGGCCAAGACACAGAACTAGTTACACACCTGAAGAAAATGTACAGATTGAAGTTAGTCTTTCATACAATGCCTTCATGTGTGTGTGACTCTTCATTGTGGTCCCCTGTAAGATAGAAATATTAGTGGACACACACACACACACACACACACGCACACTCAAACACTATCAAACGTCAATCTTGTTTAAAATTCTACACACACATCATTCCCATCTCAGCATAAAGCAGCTTTTAAACGAGGTGTGTTGCTATTTGTGTGACAGAATTATTAGAAGTAGAGAATGGACAAAGGCCAGCTGTCACACACCCACACATATAACCAGACATACTGATACAATGATGTATTACTCAGGGAGGGGTGACAGTGAGTCAGGCATGAAGGGGTTGAGCCTGAAAAAAAAAATGACTGCAAAGTAAAGTTAATACACTCCATAGCATCTGCATATGCAAAAAAAAAAAAGGTTCACATTCAAATAGGCACATCAGGTCTATTTTTGGATTAAGCACTTCTTAGAAATTTCCGAATATTGTGTGAAAACCTCAAATTGATCGGCCTGTTTACAGAAGGCTTTTTTCCCACTTTAACATAGCTGTACTGTGGTACCCTCTAAATCCAGTCTGGTGTTTTTATGAGCCATGCACTTATCCTAGATTTGCACCTAATTTGTCTTGAAGATACTTTTTTGGCACTTCCTCCAAGATTTCTTTTGAGAGCTTTTGCAATCCTGCCAAGGACATTGGGGCATGATTTTTAACATCTGCAGTCAATAGGAATCAATGCAGGGTTTGAAAAGGTGCCCCTGAAATCTGTCATTTTTTCAGTTTTCGAAATTTACTTTTTTCCCTTCCAGTTGTAGGCAGCATTAGATACCGCAATGATGAAGAATAAAGTGTGGAAAAGACTAAATTATATTGTAACGGGGCCTTTTTGTCTCTGCAAATCCATGAATGTATCAATCACGCTATTGGGAATGAGTCTTTTCTCTGAGAACCAAGCCACAGATTCAAAAATGGATCACTACCTCCCTCCCTGTGTAATACGGGGACTTCATAGCTTGGAAATTTATGTACAAGCACAAATGTGCTGAAGTTAAACTTTGGTTTTTCAGTCAAAAATTTAACAAAATGGTCACCTCAAACTTTTTCTTTCTCCTGTTCTAACATCTTGTTTTTTTTATCCCATCTCTAAACCCTTTTTGTCCTTTTGTTTGTGTTCAGTTATCTCCCTCCTCTCTTCTTTGTTCCTCCTTCCTGCTTTTAATGCCATGTCTTTTTCTCTTTCCCAGCAATGAGGTCACTGTTTTTTTAAACAAAGTTGATCATGATTATTGAAACTAAGCCCTCTGAAATGTATGCTGTCGTCATTCCTGAAGGAGGGACAAACAATCTACCCTTGTCCCATGTCTTCTTTTTTTTTTCGTACCTTATAAGGAGATATGAGAGTGTTCTGGTTTAATTTCAGGATTTTCTCACCCTAAACTGAAGCAGACCAAACAACTTTTTGCAGAGAAGAGAACGTAAGGGAAGTAGTGACTGCCAGCCATTCAGCATTTGGGTCTGAACATGAAGTGGGTGTATGAGTATCATAGGAAGATGGGATGGAAAAGTTTGTGTGGATATGGTGAAGTGATGAGTACATGCTTAAAGATAAAGAGTGACCTTTAATGACTGCAACTCCTGATTTCACAAGCTGATGTAAGCACATTTGCTGTTGTGGTTTAATCCAAAGAGAAACGTGTTAC